CCTACACATGTTTAGAGGCTGCACCGAAACTTTCCCATTCCTTACTGCGCAGTGTGGGACTGGGGATACATGGTGCTGACAGAAAAGCAGAGTAAATCCAGACAAGTGACTCGTCACTCATTGAGTTCCTGTCTCTACACCTCTGCAACAGTTATGCCCTGCCTGCCTGAAATCTGACATGTAAAAAATCTGTAAAAAATAGGGATTCTTAGGCTAAGTTCTTGTACAGGTGCTCCACTAGCAACTGATCTTTACTGCAGGTGATGCTGGAAGATGGACGGAGCAAAGGGTTTGGCTTTGTCTGCTTTTCCTCTCCAGAGGAAGCTACGAAAGCTGTGACAGAGATGAATGGGCGAATTGTGGGCTCAAAGCCGTTGTATGTTGCACTTGCACAAAGGAAAGAAGAGCGAAAGGCCCATCTAACTAATCAGTACATGCAGCGCATTGCTGGGATGAGAGCCTTGCCTGCAAACACAATCATTAATCAGTTCCAGCCTGCTGCTGGCGGGTATTTCATGCCTGCTGTGCCCCAGGTAAGCTGAGCTAGTGTGGTTTTTTAACTTGTGTTTTGGAGCTTTGGTTCAGCTGCAATAATCTCATTGAGCCTCTCTTATGTCTATAAGGAAATAACCCCTCATGAGGGGTGCAGTCAGTGGAGTTAATTCTGTGACTTCCCAGCTGCCTGTTCTTTAAATGTGAATTGAGTGTTGAATCCTGGCAACGATTGCCATAACATGCTGTAAACAACATTTGTTATTCTCTTAGATGTTGCCTCTGAACTTGTCTGATCTTTCTTCAGGCTCAGAGCAGACCCACTTACTATGCACCCAATCAGATGGCGCAGATGAGACCCAACCCACGCTGGCAGCAAGGGGGAAGACCTCAAGGTGAGCATGCTAGAGACAGTATTTCAGTTGTATGACCCTTTTGGCTGTACTTCCCAACAAGAACAATGCATGCTTTCCTTTCTGTGCACAACCCCAACCTACTTCCTGTAGCTGACTGTCCTGACTTGCCAGTCAGTTCTGTTTTGAGGATTTCCCCTCATTTCTTCCATTAGGCTTCCAGGGAATGCCAAATGCCATGCGCCAGTCTGGACCACGGCCAGCACTGCGCCATCTGGCCCCTGCCGGCAATGCTCCGGCCTCTCGTGGCCTCCCTGCCGCTGCCCAGCGAGTTGGTAAGGTCCCAGGCTCTTCCCCCTTGTCTTCAGAGGGAGGAGGATGCGATTGAGACTTGATTTCTACTTCCAAATATGCTTGTCAGATACAGATAACCAAAGGCCACCGGGAGCAAGGGGCAGAGACAGCACCTGAATCTTTCCTGTTCCTTGCTGTGCAGTGCAGATCTGGGGACTAGTTGGTGCTACAGCACAGCAGTGGAAATCCAGATGGTTTGCTTTCCACTGGTTTGGAATTAATCTCTACACCTCTGCAACATTTACCACTCAAAAGATTAAAACTAAAAAAAAAAAAGGCTCTGTAGGTTATGGATGTTGTTTTCAGAGCAGAGTGTCCAAATTCATTTTATTCTGGTGTAACTGTGAAGAATCTTAAATGCAGGATGTGGAATCCATGGTTTAGTTTTAGGGAGAATAGCCCTTTCCTGAAGTAGCCAGTTGCATTTTGGAGACCAGTTTCTAAAGAAGTATTAGAATCTGCAGAGCATAGTTTGAATTCAGCAGTTGATATCAGGCACCTCAACTTGCTTGCATGTTGCCACAGGTGTTCTGTAATTCTGTTCTCCTCTTTCTTTGCAGGCGTTGGCACCACAGCACAGAATTTAGCTCCTCGTCCGCCTGTAGCTGCCCCCGCTCCCAGGTTCCTCCTTACAAATATGCCTCAAGCGTCCGCAGCCCACACCCAGCTGTGCAGCCTTTGCAGGTAACACGAGGGTCTGGGCTGAGAAGTCCCTGCAGTCCAGTGGGTTTTACATGCAACTGAAGTGTTTTTACAGAAACTTCAAGCTACTTTTATAACCCAGACAGGCATCGTAATTTGGGATTTAAAACCAAAACCTGGCAGCTGTCCCTTTGCCGGGACAACCTTGTTGATTTATCTGTCTTGTACTTGGAAGCCCTTTTTTTTACCCAGATTTGCTGTAAGAATATTTTTTTTTAAATTGGTGTTTTGCTTTCTCATTTTACAACTATTCATTCTCTCAGCTCTTTCCCAAATCCTCACTAAGGTATCATTGAAGGCACAGTTTGCTTTTCCCACAAACCTCTGTGCTGTAAAAAAAGCAGGCACAGGTGTCACTCTTTCTCAATTGCAATATTTGTCTCACAGCGTTTGATCCAGTTTTTTTTAAGATAGTTACAGTGCCCGTGTGTGACATGAGGGGATTTTGAGTTCAGGACTTGGCAGGAGCATGTTTATAAACCAAGGGGACTTTATATGGCCTTTTCTGAAACTTAAGTCTGCTGCAGGCTTGACAAAGATTGTGTTTTAGAAGGAGGGAATATCTTACTATTGTTTCTAAATATGAAGCAATCAGGTGAGTATCTATTTCAGAAGCCTCATGTCTTCTTTTCTGTAGACACCTCAGCCTGCAGTACATGTGCAGGGACAGGAACCGCTAACAGCTTCCATGCTGGCTGCTGCCCCTCCCCAGGAGCAGAAACAGATGCTGGGTAAGTGGAACTCCATTTCTTCCATTTTACTTTGGAAACCTTGTTCAAGTTTCAAAGATGACTTTTTAATCAACACTTGGCTGTCTGAACCCTTTTTTCTCTCTCCTCAGGAGAACGTTTGTTCCCTCTGATTCAAGCTATGCACCCCAGCCTTGCAGGGAAGATCACAGGAATGCTGCTAGAGATTGACAACTCAGAGCTGCTGCACATGCTAGAGTCTCCAGAGTCTCTCCGGTCAAAGGTAGAGTGGCCTGTTCTTTTAGATGGGGTGGATTTGTTGGGAGGCTTTGGTCAAGAGAGCAGGTCTCACTAGATAACTTGTCTCCCTGAGGTGGAAGAGGCTGTTGCAGTGTTGCAGGCTCACCAAGCCAAGAAAGAAGCTGCCCAGAAGGTGGGCGTAGTTGCTGCTACCTCTTAAACCCAGGAAGACTGGTGAGTGTCTCGGTCTTTAGCTTCACTTAAAAGCTTCTAGAATCAGAGTAAGGCTAGCATGATTGTCCTAGATCTGTCCAAGTAAATGCTCTGCTCTGTTTGCTGCTGGCTTTTGTTTAACTCCTGAATAAGTTTTTTCATTCTTTGAATGGCCATCTTTGATGCATTTTTCTGTGGGTTGTCTGGAATTGATGTCTTCAGCACTTTTTGTGAAGCATTTGTGGTCAGATGTGACAACTAAAAATGGTGAAGAATGATAAAGGGTTCTTATGTTGTCATCCATGTATTTCTCAGTGGTTCTAGTGTCTGGCTTCCCTGCTAAAGAGTTTGAGTTTCTTGTCAGATGATCAGAAATTGATATTATCTACAACTGTTAACAGCTTCTCTGTGTATTGCAAATTATATTGGAGTCCTTATGGTTTCTAAGTCTGGAAAGTTCAGTAGCCTGGAGCGAGGTGTGCTGTGTGGAGGTAACTTGTTTTCCTCTTCTCCTCCAGAATGCAAAGAAGCCAAATAGCCCCTTCATAGACATCAGCTCAAGATGTTTGAAGACTCTTCACTGTCCTGCAGATCTCAATGCCATGCATCATATCACATAGTTATATTGCATTTTGTAAATTAATCTTTAAAATCTTATTTAAAAAGACAACTCTGAAGCTCTAGATTTCCAAAACCAGAATTGGGCTTGCAAAGCTTTTCCTTTGTGGTCAGGGCAGAGCTACCATTTGTGTCTTCTAAGGAGGACATTAAGGATTTTAGGTTGAAAGTATTTTGTGGTTTTGGTTTTATCTGAACAATCCAGTTTGGAAAGTCTGGAAAGCATTTATCAATAAAGGAATAAAAACTTACACTGTGTTTGTCATTTTGTCCTCTATTTGGTAAAGAAATGTGATGTGGCTTAGTTAAATCAAACTGGCAGGCAGTTGTCATATGATTGATACATTAAAATTATGATTGAGTTGAGGAGTTCTGCTTGTTAACTTTGGACAATCACTATTTTGAAGCAGCTGTGTTAAAATTATGTCACAGGCAGATTATGTTGGTTTTGGTTAGTATCTGAACGGGAGATGAATAACACTAAGTGGTGATCTAACAGAAGGGTTTGGGGGATATTTTTCAAGTGTAAGAGGGATTTGTCTCCCTTTTCATCTCCTTTCACTCTCCTTTTCAGGAGAGGAGAAGCTTTGCTGTTCTCTGTGTATATTTCTATATTTCTACATTTAATGGTTCTATTGCCATGTTATACTCTAAAGGTGGCTATATTTTAGCAGTGGGGTTGATAAATGCTTTGTTAACTGTTTTGGGTGATCCTTTGGGATAAAAAGTGTTATTGATTAAACATCTTGTTTACCCTGGAGGTGAACATGTCTGTTCCACAGAAACTTGAGGCTTTATTTGTGCTTGGAAAACACTAGAAGCTGGTGAATGGAGTGAGAGAGGAAAACAGAAAGGGTTCCCAGGGTTTGTGGTTGTGCCAGTCCTGTTTTCATGGAATAATCGTAGAATTTTTCACCATGTATTTTAGGATGATGTGGTTATGAAGTACCTGGTTTTCTCCATTTTGTGAATGGTTTGGGTTGGAAGGGACCTTAAAGCTCAATCAGTCCCACCCCCCCTGCCAGCAGCAGGGACACCTTCCACTAGACCAGGTTGCTCAAAGCCTCATCCAACCTGGCCTTAAACACTTCCAGGGAGGAGCAGCCACAGCTTCTCTGGGCAACCTGGGCCAGTGTCTCACCACCCTTACAGGGAAGAAGCTCTTCCTAATATCTAATAGAAGAGGCAAAGTCATGGAGTGAGGGTGGGCTGAGGGCTGGCAGGCTGTGACCAAGCTGGGTGAGCTGTCCCCAGGTTGCAGGGGAGTGGGCTGCTTCCCCCAAACGCTGTCAGTCTCCATCATAACACAGCGGGGAGAGGCTGGAAACCACCATGGGCTGAGATCAGATCACCCCACCCCGAGGAACCACCTCGCCCACCGCACGCCCCCCATTTCAGTAGCCCATGAGCTGGTTGTGTCTGACCACCCTCACACCAAACAAATTAAGGCCCCCATTTCAGTAGCCCATGAGCTGGTTGTGGGGCTCACAGGCAGGACAGCAGCTCTCTGGTGCCAGCAGAAGGGTGGACCAAATGCCTCGCGGTGGGACACTGAATCATGGTTCAAAATAAAATCCTCAAGGTTGCTCATTATTGCTGGAATCCCGTCCAGCTGGTCGCTGAGCAATGTCAGGCTCCAGCCACCGTCCTATTTCCAGGCTGTGTGGTGTGAAGGGCAGCAGACCTCGTGGCCTCCTCTGGAGTCGCTCCAGTAGCTCCATGTCCTTATGTTGAGGCCCCAGAACTGTATATAGTAAAACAAACACGCATCCCCGTTGCCAAGGCCCCAGCC